ATCAGGAAAGCCCACATAGGGGCTGAGGAGATGGCTCAGTAGAATAAGCACTTCCCTGACAAGCACAAGGGCCTGAATTCAATCCCTGGTCCCACCAAAAGAAAAGGAAAGCCCACATGACAAGCTTCTTCAGGAGACTGAGCAGTGCACCATCTTCCCTTCTAGAACCAAGAAGTGATGCTCAAAATGAGGACAGAACTCCCCCAAAGTAAACAGTAGCCATTCTCAGTGACAATGAGGTCACAAGTTCCTCTGACAATGAGAGCAGCTGAGTTCATCAGGAAAGCCAGCATGGCAAGCTCCTCCAAGAGAGCCAACAGCTACCAATAGCTTCTGCAACAGCTTCTCCACAGCTTCACTAACATCCTTCTCCAGTCCTGCCTCTTATGCTGCTGGCAGCAATCCTCAGGTGGTCCTCCCAACCCAGAACCACACTAGTTAGTTCAGCTGGGGGTTACAGGTTGGCCACTAGTCGTCAGTGCATCACACTCACCCATTTCCTCTACTTCTGTACTCTGTATGAAGCTATCACCTTTGCCCAGTGTGTAGCACCCATGGTAGAGAACTCTATTTTGTTTAGTCATACACTGAGAGTGGTAACCAGAGAGAGCTTCTGGCTAAGCAGTCATACAAGACAAGAAAACATTTTAAAAAACAGAAAGAAAACATCTACATGCTTATATGAGCTTCCTTGAGAATGTCACCATGCAAATTTCAAAATTATGTAGATGCATACGTATCTCAGTTGAAGTCAAAGAGAAATTACAAGAGCACTATTGAACAATCCTCTGAAAGAAAAGAAAAAAAAAATTTTTTTTTTTTTTTAAACCGGGGATTGAACTCAGACCCTTACACTTGCCAGGGAAATGCTTATTCCACTGAACCATCTCCCTGACCCCCTAAGAAAAAAAATATTTTTCTTGGCAGGTTATAAGTTAAAACTTTCTTTTTTTTTTTTAAGTTAAAAATTTCTGTGGAAGCTCATAGTGGGGAGAAACCCTATGAATGTAAGCAGTGTGGGAAAGCTTTTAGTACACTAGGTTCTTGTCAAAGGCATGAAAGAATTCATGGTGGGGAGAAACCCTATCTATGTAAGCAGTGTGGGAAAGCTTTCAGCAGGCACAGTGAATGTAAAATACATGAAAGAAACCACAGTGGAGGGAAACCCTATATATGTAAGCAATGTGGGAAAGCTTTTAGTACACAAAATTATTGTAAAACACATGAAAGAATCCACAGTGAGGAGAAACCGTATGTATGCAAACAGTGTGGGAAAGGTTTTAGTACACAAGGTTCTTGTCAAAGACATGAAAGAATTCACACTGGGGAAAAGCCTTATGTATGTAAGCAATGTGGGAAAGCTTTTAGTACACAAGGTTCTTGTCATGTACATAAACGAACTCACACTGGGGAGAAACCCTATATATGTAAACAGTGTGGGAAAGCTTTCAGCATGTATAGTACTTGTCAAATGCATGAAAGAACTCATACTGGGGAGAAACCCTATGTATGTAAGCAGTGTGGAAAAGCGTTCAGCAGTCACAGTAAGTGTAATATACATGAAAGAACTCATAGTGGAGAGAAACCCTATGTATGTAAGCTATGTGGGAAAGCTTTTACTACACAAAAGTATTGCAATATACATGAAAAAACTCACAGTGGAGAGAAACCCTATGTGTGTAAGAAATGTGGGAAAGCTTTCAGTATGTATAGCACTTGTCAAATACATGAAAGAACTCATTCTAGAGAGAAACCCTATGTATGTCAGCAGTGTGGAAAAG